GCCATGACAGGAGGAGGAGGAATAACACAACTGTTTCGGCGCTAGGAATTATGATACCTACTGTAGCAGAGGACTTCGGAAAAGATGAGTCCAACTAAGTCGCCCTGGCAACATGACCAAGTTGCGAAAACGAGGTCAGACGACATCTGTATGAATTATAAGTTTACTTAGCATTCATACCATTAAAAATAAGTTCACGATAAAGAAAAACTGGGTTTCCAAGTTCACTGAGTCTTTCATCCCCTTAAATAACCCAGGGTGAGGATGTATCCCGTCTTTCAAACGCTTATTTATTAAAAATAAAATTTACATGGTCGTTTGCTTTAGAAAAGTGTGATGCGAGAGGCCTGACTTGACGGTAAATTCAATTCTCCCTATAACCCACTAGCACCCGTGGCAGTGTGTACGAGGTTAACTTACCTAAACTTGTCGCTGCACTGCTCGGGTTCGATTCCATCTCGTTCCATCCTGGATGATATAGTTAGGGCATCGTGAGGCCTATTAGTACCGTGCTGGAAAAATTCACATTCAGTAAGAACTGCGTTTACCCTATTTCATTCAAGGTGATGCATGACAGGTAAATGAATTTCCCCGCAATGATATCAGTATTTTTCGTTCATAAGTAAGGCTTCGAGATTACAAGTAAATTAGTTATTTGAAATGTTTTCACTCTATTCGTTCAAGGTGATGAAGAACTGGCTGTTGAATGATTTCACAATGATAGCAGTTGAGCTGACGCTTCCATTGGATTGCTTATAGCCCTGCTTTCCCAAATGGTGTTGTCAGCCCGGCTAAGGTGGCTTATCAACAGCCCCACCGGGAGTCGAACTATGACAGTACAGCGTCTAACCGCTACATTGTTTCGAGTGCCCTTGGGTCACAGGACAGATGTGAAATTCACTTCATATAACTCATTTGTTGGCAATCTCGAAACCCTACTTATGAGTGAAAAATAAGTAATGTAGTCGATTGTCATAGCAAATATAAATTTGCCTTATCGACAATCCCACTAAAGAATATGATATGGAAAAATGCATGGCTTTCCTTGAAATTGACATTCACTTTGTGGCCCCAGGTACTCATGGCAATGTGGCTTAGTAACTAACGTGTCACGGTTCGAGTCCTGCTGGGAGCGTTGATAAGACCTAGGCAGGTCGAAACCGCAGTCCTTTTCAGCAGAGGTGAAAGCAGGGCTATGTGAAAATGTAATGGAAGCATCATGTCTACTCATATCATTATGGAAATATTGAACCACCACTCACCTTATCACCCTAAACGAAATACGATAGATACATTTTAAGGATACTAATTGAGTAGCCCTCCGTTTGAATATGGCTAAAACCCATCTCTAGTCTCAACTGTTTCAATAAAGTATAGATGATTCCTGGCTTATTTCTATAGCCAAACCCTCATACTCAAAGTTTTCACCAATCCTCTGTTCACGACAGCTGCTCTAATGGTCCTTCTGCATTCCAAAGAGTCGAAGACCTCTTTACTCCATTGAATCCTGCAAACATCATCCTCCACCAGCATTTTGCATTTTTTGTTTTGCCATTCTTTGGCCAATTTGGCTATTGGTCTTTCTGTAACTGATTCGATCACAAAATAACATTATTTTGTAGCAGCCAGATATGTTTAGGGATCGTATTTCCTCAATAGTGGGCATAATCGAATGGAAAACAAATACTATTTTGATTCATCATTTTCTTTATAGTTCGCCCATTATATTAAAACTATAATCTGAGAAGAGGTGTCATCGCTGAGTCAACAGAGATGGGCCAGGAAACTCATCAAATATCCGTTTTTATTTGTATAGCTCGCTACAAAACCAGAGTTATTCATGACGGACACCAGAACTGATAATGCACACTCGACGGCGCTAGGCGCTAATTCGTTAGGCTCTTAATCCTCACGCTCATGATTGGAACCCCGCTGGGGCGCTAATGGGACTCTGAGATGAGATTATAACGGCCTTCCAGCCTGGAGAAGGACAACCTCTTGGGGCGCAAAGCTCATTGGAGTTGGCAGAAAAGTCTAGCCGAATTTGCATTTAATGGTGGACTGAGATTCGCCAACCATAAGAAAGTGGGGCATAACGGAAACAATCAGGTTCCTGGTGCCTGCGATGAATCAACGGGGGTTTCATGTAGGCCATGCACCAGTGAAGGAGACTGGCCGCATAATATTTGCAAGGTTCTTTGGGTCGAAGGAAAAAAAAGGTACTACACCAGGCGAGATGCAACGCAATTTTCAACACGAAGTTATGCATACAGACGCAGCTGGTAGGACAGATGAGAAAAAAGCTTTGAAGGTAAGACTAAAGTAAGGGTATATAAAGTATTAGATAATAATTACGCTTACAACACGTATTTTTGGCTTCTCCTGATTTCGCAAATCTCTCGTGCTGTCAAGGCCTCCTCAGAGAGCTCACTTTGTACTGTGCCTTCCGCCATTCTATTATATGCTCTTCTATTATCAGATCGCTGGTCACCGGATGGTGCACCAACAATGGCAGGCGGTACAGTACAAAGAAGATTCTTTGGGGTGTTTTGCGAAATAAGAGTGAGTAGCGAAAACGGGCTGGCACCGAGACAACGCAGCTAGCGGATACTGTGACCGAACTGTGGTCAACAGAATTTTGGCTTTTGTGTCTACGAGTTTTCACTTCTGTTGGCAAGACCGTTTGGTTGCATTATAGGGAAACTTAAGCAAAATGATAAAGTAGTTATGAGTAGTTATGTGTAGTCAAAATGCTGTTGCCTTTGGGTGACTCCAAAACAGCATAAAGAATTATAGAGTTGGTTCGATCTTGTTTTCGCAACTTGGTTGGAGCGTCAGGCAGACCTGGTGAAACGTACCTAGTCTTGTGTCCTCTGCCATAGTATTCGTGATTTCCAGCATCACACCATTGACTTGGAACATGCCCATACGTTTCGCCGGTATTGTAGTCGGCATCGTCAGTGAGAGGTGCCATCACCTTCATCACAGAGTTACAACTTATCAGTGACAATTGAAGGTAATCCCCTTGACCAATTTTCTGTTAGACCCTTCTGGCATCACTCCTCGCCCTATTTTGTGTTCCACCTTCTAGTGCTGACGTTCTGACAAGGTTGCGAAAAAGAGGTAGAACCAAAACTATAAGGATTAAGGAGACTTTTACCAAACAGAAAGTCACACCAAAATGGTTTTGATATCTAACCTAAATAATTAAATGATATATTTTCACCCAATTTAGTTTGAGGTGATGAAAGAAGAAAAAATTTCCCACAATGATATGAGTTGAGCTAACGTTTCCATTGACTTTAACATAACCTTGCTTTCCCAAAAGTTGTTCTCATCCAGACAGAAGTGGACTGCAGTTTCGACCTCGCATCGGTCTCATCAGCACCCTCAGCGGGAGTCGAACCGCTAACCACTCGGCTACACTGCCACTGGCACCTTTTGGGTAACAGGGCAAATGTGAATGTTAGAGGAAGGCCAGGCCCTTTTGCCATATCACATTCTCTTGGTGGTAGTCACGAAAACAATACTTAATTCGAAAAATAAAGAATTATAATTAAGGACCCAGCAGAAGGTCTGTCGGTGAGATTTTGTGAATAACTGAAAAGTGGAAAAGTGGAAAATGAACACACTTCTTCGTGGAGCTGCTAAACCGCCTAATGCCAATGGTCTGCCCGATACTCATAAGGAAGGTGCTCCACTTTGGATAATTATAAATAATAAGGGTGCAGTCGCGTTTTATTTGCATGCGATTAAAGCAAGTCTCCCGAACGGGGCAGATTTCGATAAGGATATCATACGACTTTATTGAGTTAATAGATGTACCGTGTAAAGAAAAAGGTGATCTGCTTGTATGTTTTGAGGTAGATTTTACATAAACTAATATTTCGTTAAATGAGACTACCCGAGCTTTAGGAATAAGGTAAACGTTAAGACAAAAGTTTACATTAATTCTTAATAATTAGATTAAATAATTTAGTTATGATTGGTATATATAATGCCTTCAAATATAAGTTGACTGAGCAAACATGAGGCTTAACTCCACTTTTAGCTAACAACTACATGGCCCAATTAGAGGATCATTTAATTCAAGTATTACTCTTAGTTTCTAAGCTATTACTTAGTTATGAGGACGACTACTTTGCTGTTTGGAAGCACAGCGAAAAAATCGGATCAATTTCTGGAGATGATAAATAGCATAAATGGAATGACTAACTTTATTTTGGAGTTAGAAAACAAACGCATGCGTATGGGACCAAAATAGGTATTACGAAATCGACGATAATAAGGAGTCTGCGTTTTGTAGATATAAACCAGCGACAACAGAAATAAGTAGACTGAGAAATATTTTAATTCTAAATATTTATCCGGTAGTATTGCTTGACAATTAATTTTCATACTCATAAATGGAATGCAGGGCAAAAAATATCTCGGACAGAAGAGACAGATAGACAACTCTATTCGTTTCTTGATGTCACAATCCTGTCATTTTGCAAAAAAGAAGAGGAACTACTGAGGAAGCGGAAGATCAGAAAAAATGTATAAAGAGAAATACTTTCTTTATGAGAATTTTCAGACCCTCGTTTTGCGGATTAGGGTGTGGTGAAGCTCATTATGGTTAGTTTCTACGTTAATATAACTAATTGCATGTATGTTTGAGCGCTTTTCCGTGTGCTTGTGTCTATCTATACGAAGCAACCAGTCATTGCCTTAAGCAATTACGACGGAGATTAACGTTAGGTATGCCCGTAACTACTTATAAACAAAATTCCACATGCATTTGCATTAAATGAGAACTTCACTCTCATTCCATGGAGGCAATTCCAAAGTGGGAAAAACAGGAAGAAGCCAGAATGGGCACTTTTTATATTTAAGAGGATACGAGTCAATAAGGGAGAAACTTTATTTTAAGCCTGATTTTTCCGGCCTATAGCTCCATATCTGCTGCGATAAGGAAGAGACATATTTAATTTTAAATCTTCCTGCCTCATTTTGACATGTTTTAGCCGTTGCTGTCACAGTTGAGGTGTACGCCATGTCATATTTATGAGTTTGTAATTTGACTTTTTTGCGGCACGTCGTGAGTCATCCTACGAGACCTACAGTTCAGCCAATTTTGCATACAAGCAGAGAGCCGAAGGAATTTACATTCCTATCCGTTTTTTCCCACCGATTATTATGTCTCAGTGAAGAAGATGGAATGCAGAAAGATGTAAATTCTTCATGAAATATGCTGATAATATCGTGGGTCAGTTGAAGCCCTTGCGACAGGGTCACAGGCATTCAATAAAAGATGAACATTTCATCAATCTCAATAGATAGACCCAAAATATGGTAGCCAACGCAAAGATAAATAGTATATTTAGCCTTAAATGCTGCTATATGGAAGTCAGCCTGAACCTTGGGGCAATGAAGCCATAATCAGAGGCCATAGAGCCTGCTGGACTAACGGCTAAGTTTGGTGGTTTAGATGCCAGGATCCAGATGATGGTAGGTATGTGCATAGGACAAGTTTTTATGGCTTATTTGTTAATTTTATCATTAATTCTCAAGCATGAGGCAAGTTTAATAGAGAGTCTCCTTTAAATTGTATCTAAAAAGTAAACACGCTATATCAACCAACGAAGCTATGATGATTAGATAATTTTGGTAATCTTTTCAGGGTCACAGTTGTGGGTACCGAGAAACTATATTCCTGTGAAGGCCACAGCTGACGCCGGTATCTAGAAGGTTACATAAGTACGTTTTTTAGACTACCAAAGATCATATTTAACAAAAGTATTCACCCTATTTCATTTAGGTTAATAAGGAGACTGATAGTTGAATTTTCCCACAATGATATGTGTAGGTCTTAACTTTCCATTAAATTTGTTAGACTCGCTTTCCCAAAATGCATTCACATCCAAGCAGGAGTAGGTTGCAGTTTTGACCTCATCTCACCACCACCCTCAGCGCAACTCGAGCCCGGCTTGTGGTAGTACAGCGTATAATCTTGGCACGGTAACCACTACGCAACGCTAAAACGTGTGCCCTTGGGTGACAGGGCAGATGTTTCCAGCCCCACTTTAGATGATGATCAAGAATGGGCGAGATCCAAACGGTAGTCCACTCTGGATGATAATACCTTTCGGGAATGCCGGGCTATGCGAAATTTAATGAAAACCTAAGGTCTAATCATATCATTTTTGGAACCTTTAACAATTAGTCCTCTTATCACCTCAAAGAAAATAGTGCGATTACACATCTTAATCATTAATAATCCCGAAATGCAATATGATTAATAAAAGGTAGATGATACAGTTGAAATAGACTTGATCAAAGACCCAATAACAAGGCCAAACCATCTTTGTCTTCATATTAACCTCAATAAGAACATTTTATTGAATATGTAAAGTAGTTATTAGAGAACAAAGCTCAGCTTGAAAGCTACAAACTTCGAGAAGTCCCTTCTGTAAGTCCCTTTGATATCACGGCCGAGTTGGGAGAACGAGATGAAACGAGGAAAATATTTTACTTCTAATTACGAGTTATGCGAGCAAGAATATAGTTAAACAATTTAATACTATTTGCCTTACTTTAGACAAACAACTGCCCGGCTCATTCAGAGGCCATCCTGTTTCCATAGCGGTTGTTTAAATATATGAATGGCCACTCCGCTATTCAACAGTCCAGTAAATTAAATAAGTTGGTCTGTAAAATAGCTGAGAAGACCAGATTTATT